GCTTAACCAACTGAGCCACCCAGGTGCCCAAGATTTTTTTTTTTTTAATTTATTTATTCATTTGACACAGAGACAGCTAGAGAGCGAACACAAGCAGGGGGAGCGGGAGAGGGAAAAGCAGGCTCCCGGCCGAGCAGGGAGCCCGACGCGGGGCTCGACCCCAGGAGCCCAGGATCATGACCTGAGCCGAAGCAGATGCCCAGCGACTGAGCCACCCTAGCAGGAAGATTTCTTGCTAAAAAGCTAAAATGCACTGACTCCGTTTTCTGTACTTTCAGCAATGCCCTTGAAACCTTGCGAAGTATTATCCAGTGATTTAGAGTAACAAGAACTGAGATAAACGATCACTTTCAAAGAGGAATTAAAGTCCTGAGTATTCTGTAGGGAAGTCCTATTTTAGAAGATCCCCTCGGACAGTATTTTCATCTGAGTGAATTTTGAGAGGTTCTTTTGAGGGTGGAAGAGCAAGGAGGGAATGTACTTTTCTTTGTCAGTATCTCGTCTCGCTCATGTCTCTCCATTTGGTTGACTTTCTTTATGCACAGTCTTGTTTCATCTTTCCCTATTAGGCTATTTGTGGGAAATTCTTTATCCTGACGTGTGGCCGTGAACATGTCGTTACTTAATTTAGTGTGAGGCTGACTTTAGATCTGTACCCTGCTCGCTCCTCCTCATCCGTTTTGTGTGGGGTTGAAGGTCTCACGGTGGAAAATGCTAAGCTGCAGTCCATGGGAAGCCTTCATGTTATAAATATGCCTCATAGCAATATTTTATTTAGTCCATTTGCAAGAATTTAATTTGAAGTAAATAATTCACACTGGCCAAAGATTCCAAGGTACAGATGTTTGCACTGCTGCTGGGACCAGCTGAGGCTTCACCTGCTTATAGGCTGCTTTTCTGCTGGTTTTCCCTCATTTCTCACATGTGTGGAGCCCCAGATATTGCTTCTCATGGTGATATTGCTGCAAGGTCTCCATAATTAGACATGGGCATCCAAGGCAAGTCAGTATTTTCTTTTTTTTATGAGTAGAAACCATTTCAGCTTTCCTCCTGGGGAGTCCTTTTGAGTCTCTGAAGTCATTCACAAATACGGTAAAGTCTAATTTTGCTCCACAAGAAAAAAAAAAAAAGAGAGAATATTGCTCTTTTCCTATCCAGGGATTCCACCCTCCCCCAAGCTTTGCTGCCCTCCGCTTATTGCTTTCCCATCAGTTGCAGTAGCAGATGGCTTTATGCAAATCACGCAGTTATTTTGGTCATAGTCAAAATCACCTGGCATTAAGAGCAATTTCTAGATGAGGGAAACTGCTGTGTGTGTTTGAAAATGCACCCAGAGCTGGAGGGCACACCATCTCGACGGAATCTGTGTTCCTGGCAGAGAAGGCTGCGGCCTTCCAAGGATGCCCCCCCAACTTGCTCCGTGTATTTCTGTAGGTCCACCTAGCCGGTGAAAGATCGCAGAAAAAGATATTTTCGATGACTGTTTATTAGCCATCTTTAATAATCTCATCACGTACGTGTACACAGGGGATATGCTACCTTGGTTGGCATCATATGGCCAGTTTTAACAAAGAGGCCAGCAATATTCGTCACTGCAGTTTTCGTCTTTCTTTTACTAAAAATTATAATTTTTTTTTTTTTGCCTAATTTTCTTCGGTAGCCTCTTTGAAGTAATTCCTATAAAATTGGGCACTTTTCCTCTTCCCCTCAACTCTCTAAACTTCTTTGCATTGACAAAACAATCCATCTTCTAGAGTGGCTCTTGCAAGATTGCTGAGGGTTTTTTTTTTTTTTCCTTCTTCCTTTTATCTCTTTCTCCAAGTTTTTACCATCTTCTTCCTTGAAATGACATAGTGTGAAGTGAATAGCCAGAAAATGAGGGAAAGCCTTCATCAATTAGCCTTAAACAATCAGCTGCTTTCCTAATTCTGAGATAAATGATGGGGCTCTGTGGCTCAAATGTCACGCGGTTTCCTTTCCAGACATGCCTCAACAGATAACGGATCATGCCTGTCCTTCCCCTCTCATTCCCCTGCAATCTCCGTCTTTTACCTTGCTGCTCTGAGACGCCCCCACCCCTCTCCGTCTGATATAGACGCATGAGGCTTACCGGATGAAGGAGTCAGTCACTGTGAAGTACTTTGAAGGACAGATAGAAAGTGTAATTGTGGGCTCCTTGATTCCTTTGCTGCTGCTGTTCCGTGTGAGAGGTCCCCTGCGTCTGTGCTGCTCGCTGAAAGCATGAAAGTCTAATAGTAGTAACAACCCCCTTAAATGTAGTGCTCATTGTGTGTCAGGAATGGTGTGCTTGGTGCTTAGTGTGAGCATTACGTGGTGTACAAACGAACCAGCAGACTTAGTGTCTCTCATGTATTTTTCAGGTTGAAAATTGGTGTCCTCATTTACCTTGGAGAGCAAAAAATCCCTATGAAGAAGCCGATCATAATTCATTGGTGAGTGATTTTTGGAAACTAGGCTTGTGATTTGGTTCTCATGCCGAGGGATACCTGCGGAGTCGGCTAGACATGCCCGCTGTAACCTGAAATCATGGTAAACTGAAGAACTTCTTTCCGCAGCCCTGTGGAAATGTGGGTGATCGAATCAGTTAACCAGTAGTGTCTGTTTCTCGAGCGATTCTCTGGGGGGTCCTGAGTGATAGGCTCCTGAGAGGAATGAGACCTGGTGCCAGATGCGGGGCGCTCAGCGATCTCATAAGGGTGACAGGTGAAAATCATGACCACACCCAAGTAAAAGCTGAACTACAGGCCGATGGAAGTGAGTGAGAAAGCAGTCATCTCAGCCTGCATGGGTTAGGAGAGGTTGCAAAGAGATGATGACATTGGAGCTGAATTTCAAAGGATGAGTGAGTTCACAGTAGATGAAGGAGAGGAAAGTGTGTCTGATGTGTGGGGGGGAAAGGTGCTCACACCAGAGTTTGGTGTTTTCAGGGAGTAGAGCGCAGTTCAGTGGACAAGGCCATAGGGTGTTGGATGAGCTTTGGTGGAAGATGAGATGGGAAAGATCAGTAGGGACCATGAAAGGTTTTCTGTGCCATATTAAAAGCTTATGTCTTTATTCTTTAGACCAAGGGTCAGCAGACTTTTTCTGTAAAAGGCCAGATAGTGAATATTTTTATCTTTCCAGGCTGTAAGGTCTCTGTTGGAACTGCTCAGTTCTGACCTTGAGTGCAAAGGGCAGCCATAGACAGGATGTAAATGAGCAGGTGTGGCCATGTTCCCGCGGAACTTTCTATACCAAAACTGGCAGCGTGATCTGGCCTCCCCGCCACAATGTGCTGACCCATGCAGTAGGCCATGGGAATCTTGGGAGAAGGTTGGGTCAAGAAGGGATCAGGTGAGTGTTGAGAACAAAGCGCATGACTGCTGAGGGATGGAGTTAGCATGTTTTAGATGTTACGAGAAATAAATAGGAGTGCTACTATTTTTCTGTTATTCCGATCACTGGTTGTACCCAGCTACATTAGAAAAATGTTCTTCCTGGCTTTTAAATTATTCTGGCCTGAGTCTTAAATTTTATTCAGCTATGGTAGGAAAATGGTATTGCTGGCTTTTAAATTCCTTAAAAAATAATGAACTTTTGTTTGTTTGAGATTGGGACAAAACTAGAAGATGAGCATTTATTTCCCTGCTTAACTTTGTGGGCAGACTAAAGCTTTCTGGCAACCTACACAATGCCAAGCAGCCTGTTAAGAATTGACTTTACTTTTTCCAGGAGTCTGCTGCCTTGCAGTAGATCCAAGTGGCAATAAATTCGGGTGCAGAGAATTTCAAGGTACATCGAGCATACTCATTGTAAAAAAAAAAAAAATGCATTTAAATGTAACTCGGGGCTTTGCAATGACTGTGCTGGGCCTTTCTCAATTTCTCATTTTTTAATGATGTCCCATACAGCAGATCAGCAGTCAGGGGCCTTTACTTTAATTTGTAATCCTGGGGCCTTGAAGTAAAGCTGTGCAGCAGACAAGCCTCACTTTGGAAGCCCTGCATTTAATTGACTAGCTCTTTCAAGTTTTCAAATGTCACATCATGACAGCCATTATGCCTTCTGACTTTTTATCTTCTGTTCATTTTTATTAAATTTCTGTTTCTAGGCAGAGATTCGTACAGATTTTAATATTCTCTACAGCATGATGAAAAAGCATGAAGAATTCCGGTGGATGAGACTCCGGATCCGGCGAATGGCTGATGCGTGGATCCAGGCAATCAAGTCCCTGGCAGAAAAGCAGAATCTTGAAAAGAGAAAGCGGAAGAAAGTGAGTCTCTGATGAATTCAGTTCAGTTAGATGCCAGTTTTCTTTTAAAATTCAATTTTGCTTGGAAACAAGACTAAGAGAAATGTCATGTCTCAAATGATATTCCCTCAGGGTGAATCTGCTCAGTCTCTTGTACAGCCTTTTTTGGGCTTTCCTTTCCCCAATTACAGTAATCCTGCTTAGCAGGGACCAGCACACATGTTTCTTGGGTGAAGCCAAGCCCAGTATCTGCCTGTGAGATTTTCCTTTGAACTATCCTGACTGTCCCCGTGGCATCAGGAAACTTAACCCTCTTGGCTTTACCCAGATACAACCTTGGAGAACTTGTTGTTACATCATCTTGGCAGTCTCCTGGTTGTGGTATTTGTCAGTTCTGGGCTTTGGGCAACTGGTGCGTTCCATTGCTGCTATGTTGAGTTGGTGCTTCTGCTTCTGTTCTTGAGGGAGAGATACTATCAATTAAACTGGGGCCAATTTGTCTGAAGTTCATGAGGATTTGCTTAGAAAACCTCCGGGAATAACCCTGAGCATGAAAGATTTTATAGCCTATAGTTATAGGTTAAATGGCCTTGGCTTTAGAGTAACTGTCCGGATGACAACAGAGCAAATTAAGCGATCTCTACTACCCGCATCTAAAAATTAATTAAAAATGACTTTGGTGTTCCTAATTTGACTAATTTGATATCCTCAAAAAAAGGAAATAGGGATGATGAACTTGCAAAACCCCAAGTGACAGTTTAGTGGTTCCATTCTGCTAAATCCCTTGAATTTATGAGACAGTAGGTCCAAATGTTCAGGCCCCAGATAGTCCTCTGTAGAAGAGAATTAGGTCAAAAATCCAGGTGGGCTGTAAGAAGAACTAGAGTATTTTTACATAATCCTATGCAATAATCTCTAGGATATATTGACCTATATATAGGTCAATAAATAGTAGATGGAGAACAGTGAACATTATTTTTAAAAGGAAGAGATAATTTTATATATCTATATACCTACATGTATGCATAAAGATATGTGCATGTACACACACATGATGTATATATAATATACATTTATGCTTGATCATATTTTTAAAAATGGATAAACCATGAAATTAAAGGAGATGGATAGTGGAGCTGGTTGCATAACATTGTGGATGCACTTAATGCCACTGTACACTTAAAAATGGTTAAAATATTAAATTTTATATTAACATCTATTGTACCACAATAAAAAGAGTCAAATATGGGGAAGGAGGGAGGCAACAGGATTAGAAACTAGACTTAACTAAATATATCTTTCTCTGTAGATTTGATACTAGAATCACTTGACATAGTATAAAACAAAATTGAATTATGGAAAAAAAACAGTATCTAAAAATTACAAAGAAAATAAGACCTGAGCTGACTACGTACCCATTTTTACAGCAAACACACAAAGAAGGACTGTTCTTAGTGACTAGAACACAGCCAGTTGAGCATTTCTGATGGTATATCACAAAGGACAAAAAAACTGCAATATACCTTAAGAGAAGTTTTACTGAGTTTTACTAAGTTTACACGTAGTAGGTGGTGGTGTAGATATTCTCATTCTGAATCCCTTCTGCATATTGGAATAAAGCTTAAGGACTTAATGTTAGTATCCTGGAGAAGTGGGATTTTCCATGTGGGAGAGAGGAAATAACATATGTAAGATGGATAATGTTATGCAAAGCTACTGTAATCCTGAGTTTGAATGGGAAGTACCAGTGTGAATTTATGATTGGTTTTATCCTGGAGGAGAAATAAATTTCCAGCTTCGTCCACTGAAAAAGGCTACAGACAATGATTAACTAGAGTCCCCTTACGCACCAGAACTTGATCTTTAGATGCCATTTCCACTAAATGGTATAAGAGGTTCTTGGAAAAATCGTTGGTTAAGGTCTGACACAGAAGTTGTACATGATGAGCCGGGAACATCTGTCATACCGGGGAGCAAAGAAACTCTCAAAGACTACTAGAATTGTGTCAGAAGAACTTAGAAGCCAACTTGAATGTCCTCCCATTGGCAAGATGGGACAATTTGATAATCCGTAAGGATAATAACTACAGCTTATTGAAACGCATCTAATATACTTCTATCCATGATTTTATAATGATACCTTTAAAAAGCCTCGTTGATGGTCATTAGAGTATGCTAACAAACAAATCTGTTATTTTGAAAACTGATAAAGGATAAGAGTGAAATATTTCCCAGGCTTTTTCTATGTAAACCATACTTCAGCAGAGCCAAATAGTTGATTGGGGGGGGGGTAGTTTCTCTTTATAGAAGCATTCCAGCTAATAAAGGCAGAAGGAATAATAAAGTATCACCATTTTGCAACCCCTAATGGATGAGTGCATCTAGTTAGTGATCATCAGTAGCTGCTAACATCACCAGAGAGCCCAGACGTTCCCACTAGTGGAAGCACACAGTACCACCTATGAAGTAGTGTTGCCAAAAACATCAAATATGAATTGAATCATGCCCGCGGATCTGATTACTAATTTACTATAAATACAAGGGGTGGAAGAATCTGTTATATAATCAGCAAAACCCTAAGTGTGAGAGACTCTACTGGAAATACAACCTAGTCTCTTTGACAGATTTAAAACTCTCCCCACCCCCAAAGGATGGAGTTAAAGAAGCCTGAGAAATAAATGAAACAATTATAGTTTATGCAATTTATTTGACTTCTGACTTGAACAACTGTGCTTGAAAAAAGGAACAGTTGAGGAAGTGTAAAAGATAACTGGATATTGAATGATATTAAGGAATTAATAGCTATTTTAGGGGTGCTAGTGATGTTATGGTTATGTTTTTTAACTGAAGGTTTGTTTCTTTTAGAGATACAAACTGAAGTATTTGCAGTTGAAAGGATATGATCTCTAGGATTTGCTTCAACAAAAGCTAGAGGGGTTGGGAGAAAATGAGGGGTGTACATTAAGATCCTGAGTTAATAATTGTGAAATTTATATGATGAGTACATTGGAATTGACTGCATTATCGTGTCTGATTTTGGCTATGTTTGGAATTTTTTACGTTAAAACCTTAAAAATATTCCAGCTGTGGGGGAAAAAAAACCCAATATTGTTAAATGATAATTTTATTGCCCTGGCTTATTCTCCTTTAATTCTGATTTCCCAAATGTTATCCTGCTTTTTAGAAACAGACTGTCCGTATGTCATTTTCATAGCCATAAAAGGGGCAGTAGTGACTTTATTTCCTTCCATTTCTTTGTACCTTTTAGAAAAATCTTACGCCATGTTGAGGTTTCATTAGAACGTAAACATCACTTTAGAATTGGTTGATTGCTTTTGGTGTGTTACTATGGAGTTTGTACTTGGTTCAGTGGGAATCAATATATGCCTCTCCTTTGTTTTGTTTTTTTTTTTTTTTCAGGTCCTCGTTCACCTGGGACTCCTGACTAAGGAATCTGGATTTAAGATAGCAGAGACAGCTTTCAGTGGTGGCCCTCTTGGTGAATTAGTTCAGTGGAGTGATTTAATTACATCTCTGTACTTACTGGGCCATGACATTAGGATTTCAGCTTCACTGGCTGAGCTCAAGGAGTAAGGAGATTACTTTTCAATTTTAAAATCAGAATACAAAAAAGAAATTGTAAACTCTTAAAACCCTCTATTAGTGTGTAATTTCTTGTGGAGGAAAATGAAAGTGATAATTCACTAAACAGGAGATAAGAAGATTATTTTCAGGAGCTAAATACATACACTGTGAAAAGGATAATATGTTTTCATTGTAGTTGCAGGCTCCAGAGGCTTCATAAATGAATGCCAGAAAATTCAAACTAAGGAGCTTATTCTTTGCTATTACAGGTGCTTCCAACATGTGCAGCACAAAACATTATTGACTTTCCTAATTCCCTGTCTCTTGCTGAAATGCATACCATTCCCTACTCAACTTCAAGCCTTCCAAATCTTAAAACAGGGCAGGTTCCTGTTTATAATTTAATTTGGATAGAATGAGTTTCTTGAAAGCCCTGATCCAGTCCTCTTTTCAGTAAAGCCAACTTTCCAGTCTGAGTCTGTTAACTCTACCTGGCTTTCCTAGTTCCCTGAAACCTTCTTCTGGCTCTAGCCGTCTCTTAATCTCTTGTAGACTGACACAGCATGGCTAGGCAGGAATGCTTCGCACCCCTTCACTCCTTTGGATAACTGCCCATGGAGACTTTCTTCCCAGCAGCCAAGTTATCATGTTGCAGTATGCCAAATGCTCCAGAAGAAATACCTAGAGTGAACATTCTAGAGATGGAAGGGTGTTTAAAACAAAATATGCTCCCCCCACCCCTACGTTATTGTCCATGACATTGATGCCCAGAGATGTCACTTGTGTTAGGGGCCAAGGTCCACACACCTGAGGAGTGGCACTGTTGAGATGAAAGCAATAATATCAGCTGTCATTTTTTAAATGATTTCTACATGCTAAAACTGTGATCAGGGCATTAGTTACAACAGGAGGGTCAACAGTTAGGATAACCACAGTATTGATGACGACTATTAGCAGCTAACGTTTGTTGAGCACCTACTGTGCATCGGATACTGAGCATTTTACGTACTGTTTACACAAACTTGGCAGTGAGTGCTGTTGCTTTCTGCATTTTAACGATGAGGAAACTGAGTTGTTTAAGAACACGTGGAAAACACGTGAGAGCCAGGACTAGAGCGAAGCCTGTCTGACCTCAAAGGCTGTGCTCTTGACCACTCTACTAAATTGCTCCTTTTGGATCTAGATAAACCCGAGGCCTTCTGAACCCCTCCGCACTACCCGTGTCCCTTCAGCACGCTGCCTCCTGCTTGCTTTAAAACACGTTGTGTACAGGGCCTGCGCAGTTGAGGCGTCCCTACATTCAGCAGTCATTCAGTGCTTTCTGGGCACTGGTTCTCGGTATGGGGTATACAGAGATGACCAGCATGTGTTCAAGGAAATGCCAGTCTTTTGGTAATTACGGCTAATACATCACATAATAATTACACTAATTGCAATGTGATTAGTACTAATTGAGGCATGGATGCTATAACGTAAGCCAAGAGAGTACAGCAACAGTGACTATTGCTCACCATGGTGTATGTGGCACCTAGAATAGTGCCCAGCACCCAGCGGGTGCTTGTGACTAGTTACCGAGCAAACCAGTGAAGGGATGAATCAAGGAATGAGTGAGTGGGTGAATAAATGGAAAACTGTGGGAACTCTAGGGAAAGGCGCTCCCTAGGGAGGTCAGAGAAGGCGTACTAAAGGACTATCAGGCAGAGACTTCATTTGTTGGTCAAGAAGTCCATAGAGTGGGGCGCCTGGGTGGCTCAGTTGGTTAAGCGACTGCCTTCGGCTCGGGTCGTGGTCCTGGAGTCCTGGGATCGAGTCCCACATCGGGATCCCGGCTCAGCAGGGAGCCTGCTTCTCCCTCTGACCCTCTCCCCTCTCATGCTGTTTCTCTCTCTCTCTCTCAAATAAATAAAATAAAAAATCTTTAAAAAAAAAAGAAGTCCATAGAGTGCTTTAAGCACTGGTGACAGAACCAGATGTGTTTTATTTAAGAGGGTAATTATGAAAGCCACGTAGAGCAGTGGTTCCTGAAGATGCCTGCACATTAGAATCACCTGGGGATCTTTGTGGCCTCCCAGTGCCCACACCATATGCCAGACTAATTAAATCACAACCTGTGGGGATCGGACCCAGGCGTGAGTATCTCGATGCCTCCAGATAATTCCAATGTGCAGACAGGTTTGGGAACCGCTGAAGACAGGGTCGACCAGGAGTCCGCACACACTGGCACCATGGGCCAGATGCAGTCTTCTGTGTGTTTTTGTCACGGAACTCCCACGGGAACACAGCACACCCATTGTGGATGGATTGCCTAGGACTGCTTTTGTTCTCCAAGGGCAGAGTTGCGTGCTTGAGACAGGGGACGTGTGGCCTCCCAAGGCGAAAGTATTTACTGTCTGGCCCTGTGTAGAAATACTTTCAAATTCTTGGGAAGAAACTGGTTATACAGAACCTGGTCATTTCAGAGGGCCACATGAGCGGAGGAGGAGGAGGGTACCTGAAGGTGTGGCGGTACCGAGCTACAGAGCAGAGTCCTGCTCCTAGGACTCGTCCTTTGAAGTAGAGTGGCCAGAATTTGGTGAGGGATGGTTATGGGGGGTGGGCAGGGATAAAAGGCATCGGTGAGGACCGATTTCTGGGTGTGAGTGGCAGTGTGGTTCGGTGAGCAGTTTTTACTCCCACACGTGAAGTTGGCTTATGACCAAGTATGTCAGCTCTCTCGGGGTGCAAGGGTGGGTTTGTATGGATGGGTGAGGAGATGGGTAGATGGAAGGAAGGGCAACGAAAAATTATAAACCACAGTGCCGGTTATGCAATAGAGTCTAGTCAGAAGGAAAAAACTGACATAGAAAAAATTAGGAAATAGCACAAGACAGTATAGAAGTTTATATTGTAGTGGCTAGAAATTGAAGACCTTTAGGAAGTCAGTAGGGGCTGGAGTAATGAGAACAGGTTCTGTTGAGGAAAGCAATAGCCACTGAGTATCTGGGACACATGAGGCACTTTTCTTTTTAATACCTCATTTAAACACCTGAAGAATCCCTGACATGTTGCTTTCTTATTATCTTTTCTGTCACAAATCCTGTTTTGTGGGAAGGTCGGGTTTTTTTGTTTGTTTGTTTCTCATGAGGAGGAAAGACCAGAAAGGTTAGTGACTTGTCTAAGATCTCGTGGCTGCTAGTGGAGCTAGATAGTAGAGACAGATTCAGACCCAGCTCTTCCTTGGTTTCAGAGAGAGAGAGAGAGAGAGAGAGAGAGAGAGAGAGTGTGTGTGTGTGTGTGTGTGTGTGTGTGTGTGTGTGTGTGTGTCTCCCACCATTTATTTTTGTCAGAATCAAGGCTCTGGATAGGCCCTGACTGGTGGGCAGAATTTGGATAGGCAGCAGATTGGGACAGACCATGCCATCCTCCCCGACAACATTCTTGGGATGTTTGTTTGCCTGTTAATGTTGCTAAGTGTCATATCTTGAAATAAGTTACTATTCTTTTCCTCTCTCCTGTCCTTTTTCTAGGATAATGAAGAAGGTTGTAGGAAACCGATCTGGCTGCCCAACTGTAGGAGACAGGATCGTTGAGCTCATTTATATTGATATCGTAGGACTTGCTCAATTCAAGAAAACTCTTGGGCCATCCTGGGTTCACTACCAGTAAGTGCTACATGCTGTCCTAAAGTTAATAGAGCTTTTTTTTTTTTTCTTTTTTTAAAACGGGGGACATTGGTTACAGGCAGAAAACGCTTATCAAATATTACATTTTGGACTGTGTGGAATAGGTTTCTCATTCCTAATTGAAATTCACATTCTCCCCAGTGACTTTTTACTTTCAAAGGCTATTCATTATTTTCATTGATTTCTTTTAGGAATAGAAAATAAGTGTCCAGCCACCTCTCTACCTTCATTAATACTCCTCATTCCTCTCTGTGTGCCTACACCCAGTATCATTTGTTTAAGTAACAATTTGGATAAAATGTGGAAAATGTCATTTCTTATATTGCTCAGGTTTGAGATGATGACTCATTTCTCTTCCCTTTTCCCTCATGAGTTGTCATTTTTGGAAGAGAAAGCTGTGAATACCTTGTCTGAATGCTGGGGTTTTGCACTTTTTAAGACAACCTGTGCTGAGAATGACCCAAGTGCACGCCTTTGTCATTTTGGAGAAGAACCCATTGTTTCCCTCTGTGTCAGTTTGGGACCATGATTTAGTGTTTGAGATGATTTTACATGGTACACAAGCATGGCATTAAATAACAATGAATTATATAATGAAGTTTATCAATCTTTCAGATTTCCTCCAATCTTTCTAAAAAGGCTTAGTTTGATGCTGTGGTGCCTCCAGCACATCTTGCATCACTTACATGCATTTTTAACAAGCTGAGGGTAGCTGTCAGTTTCAGCCTTCAGGCAAAGTATCCAGTTTAAATTTAATAGTAATTTTTAAAGAAGAGAAATACGCTATTTTTGGTTATCTTCCCCTTACTAGAGTTGGTACTGGCTTTCATTTATGGCTTTTAAAAGTTTCCAATAGATGTAAATAAACATTTTATCTAATGGTGTCAGTGGTACATAAATTTGGGTAAAAATCCTGAAGTTAGTACCAACTTGACTAGCTGATAGTGAATGTTGACTTACAGTTTCAACCAACTTCCTAGAAGAACACTTGGAAAATCTTTCAAGTAGCATGGCTTAAAATCTCTTCATGTGTTTCTTTTCTATTGCTATTGGGTAAAGAGATGTTTTGATGTGTTCTTATAACTTGACGCAATAATTGAATCCTTAACAACTTGAACTAGGTCCATTTCAGATTAGTTTATAATTTAATATTATTTATTAACTTTAATCTCCAAGCCTATATCAGATTGCAAGTCCTTTAGTAGATATTCAAAAGAAATAAAAAGTCAAGATATTAAGATTCTCCAAAACATAGTAGGGAAAACATCATTGTCTGTAGATTTTCTTGCAGTTTTCTTGCCAGTAGCAATATTTTTTTCTCCCTCGGCAGTGCCATGCTCAGGGACAGAAGGAAGGGATTGATTGAGGAGTCTGTGCACTTTTCATTTCCTTTTGGATACAGTTTCATCAAAAAGCAAAATAAAAATCTTGGTTTGGGCCAGGATAGCACTCTACCTTCTGCATCACATTATTCCTGGTTTTTTTTGGTTTGTTTTTCCTTGAAATCTTCATACATCACAAGCCGTCACATTTGTTCTCAGTTATGTGGAAATAGCCGTCTTTATTTTTGGTTAATAAGCCATGTAAGTAAACAATCATTTTTTTTTCCTTTTTAGCTACAGCATTAAAGAAGGAAAGAAAGGCAGAGCTATTGTTCTCTGGCATTTAGCAAATGGCAGGCATCTGGCACAAAAGGACAGAGGCATCACGGGCATCCCTAGACTCACATATCCTCACCATTAAGAAGGGCTGTTGGGATAGAAAAATGTCCTCAGTGGTAGTGTTTCGGTCAATTAAAAAGGATGATTTCGTTATTAAAATGGTCACCAGCCGTTGGTATTTGATTCTTATTGGATGAAAAGGCACCGTCTCAGAGGAATTTTATGGAAGGGTATAGTATCTATCCTCCCTTTAATAAATCATCGTCCATGTTAGTAATACTAGCTGGCAGGACGTCTGTTAGGACTTCAGCCTTGCAGTCTTTGTGGTGTGATGAAGCTAAGATTTCATCCAAAGACCAAGCAGGTCCTCTGGAAAGTTTCTTGCCCACTTCTTTCCCTTCTGAAGATTTAACACGGTCAGGACTCTCTGAATTCATCTTGGTTGATGGTACATGGCAGGAATTCCATTAAATGTAAGGGTATCATCTGATCTTCCATTTAGGAGCAAAACCTTGAGTCCTGTTGATCT